AGGACTTATTACTCTGAATCTATATTTATTTATTGCACATTTTCCCTCCATATCAGTTTGCACAATCTTTCCACACAAATTTTTCATCCATCCATCCATCCATCTATTTTCTGAAACCACTTGTCCTATTCAGGGTCACGGGACGTCCAGAGCCTATGGGAACAAACCAGGATAGGGCACCAACCCATTGCAGGGCACACTCACACACCATTCACTCACTCACACACACACACACACACACATATATAGGGGTAATTTGGTAACTCCAATTAACCTGTTTTTAGACTGTAGGGCAGGGGTGTCCAATCTTATCCGCAAAGGGCCGGTGTGTATGCGGGTTTTCGCTGCAACTCCCTAATTAGATTACTAATTAGAGGACTGATTGGCTGAAAAGTCCTCACACCTGGGTTTGAACTGCTGACCTACAGGTTATCCCAAAAACCAGCATATACACCGGCCCTTTACGGATAAGATTGGACACCCCTGCTGTAGGGGGAAACCGGAGCAGCAGGAGGAAACCCCCAAAAGAAGGCAGTGAGAACAGGCAAACTCCATGCACAAGGAATCCCAGTGAACACTGGTCCCGGAGGTGTGAGGCAACAGTGCTATCCACTGCACCAGCATGCTGCCCACCGATTTTTAACTTGACTGATTGCTTTGTCTGTCTTAATGTACATTATATCTTATGATATCATGTTTACATTGACTATGTCTCAGTACTCACATTCTGTTTATTACTTTCTTGTTTGCGTTATGACCAACGACAATGATAGTTGACAGTGCATGACTCCATGCATCATATATCAGAAGCTGAAAATAAAAAAATACTTTAGCTTTGATGTGGCATGTGAAGCCTGCAGTATCTTCTAGCAGCCTACCCAGGTTGTAGATTGAGCCATGGGCAGTAGTACAGAAGATATAAAATGATATAAAAACCGCAATAAAGTGGCATAAGGTTTTAATAAAGCTTAACTTTAATACTGCTGATTGTTAAAATTCTCCTAGGCCTCCAGCACATAATGGCAGATATATAACCATCCAGATAAACCCTAAATACAAGATAATTACAAGTTCCCTTTCCCTAAGAACATTTTGCCTACTTTGCCAAGAACTTACTTTTAATTTCTTTACAATTTAAGCTTTATTCAGTCCTGTTCACGGACACTGGCTTTAATGCTGTATGTATAAACACAAGGTGTTTTCAGAGACATCTACTGTTCTTAAATGACTTAGATTTCATCTAAGACTGAGGCAGTGACTCCACAGACAGACTCAGAGAAACTTCAGCTCTGCGTGATATTAACAAAGGCCAAGATTTTTCCAACTGAATGTGAAATACAATTAATTTTTTTGGAAAAAAAAAAAAAAAACTAGCCAGAGCCTTAATTGGGCACCATAAGCACAGAATGCAAGACACACCCCAAAATCCATCGCATTAGTTTTATATTAAAATATAAAACAATAATTAATTTATTTGTGCAATATTTTAAGTTTCAATATTTTTTGACAAAAACAAAAAACAACAACATATGAATTATTCATGATTATCACAACAGAAAAATAAAGCATATTCAGTTACATCCATTTGAAATAACTTCCCTGGGGTAAATAAACAAGTGATCCTCAGTGAAGAGCAGCATTGTCTTTGAACTTCTTAGTGTACGTTTTTCAAAGCTGCTGCTTGACTAGATGGAAATGCAAAGGGCACACAGACCATTTTTATATATTTTTTTTGCATTGCTTTTTACCTTTAGCTATAAGACACAAATATCTCTGTACAATATAATACTGGTACCAGAATAGCTGAATCCCTCTTGGGAATTATCTTCAATACAGTACCACTACTAGCAGAGTACCACTATTTTGCAAATTATAATTATTTTGTTAATTATTTTCATTTTTTTTTTAATTAATCTACTTAATTTTAAAATTAAATAGCATTTAAACATTTCATGACAGGAAAAAGCATGAATGAAAAGCTGACACTCAATGAATAGAAGATTGAAATGCTTTTAGAAACAATAGCTATTGTAAATTGTGAAACACTGGAGAATATGTTTAACATTTCAGACAAAATCTCACACTTCCAATGCAAATGATTGACACCAAAGCCAAGCATATAATAAAAGAATGTTGTAAATAAAAAAGGTGCAAGTAATAGCAGAAGACAGGAATTTATTTTCAGGGACATAGGATGAAAAATTACTGTGCTATATGTTTGGTTATGAAATGATAGTCAATAAATACCCAAGTGCAAATATGATCCCTAACACATGTGGGAGTTTCACTTACACAAAAATGTTCTGAGGGCAGAATGAAACATGATTGGTTCAGAAAGATAACCAATCAGATCTTGGTCAGATGTCAGACCAATCAATCAGATGTCCTAGTCCTTGGTCCTGTTTGCTTAGACCCGCCTCCTCTACAATCTAATCGGTCACATTGTTAACACAATTCTCTATGTAGCAGCTATAGAGTACAGCTGATGTGAACTGCTCCAAGTCATGATTTTCAAAAATGTTCCAATTTGTCCTTTCAAAGCAATCCTGCCGTTGCGAGGAAGCTCCTTCAGGCTATGTCCTAACAGTCTTTGCGGTGGTTTGAACTTTTCTCCTCAGGGGAGTGTTTGCTGGGGCTAGGAGTATGGATAAGTGTGGTAGTGGTGTTGACCTGAATCAGTTCTTTATGCTTGAGTAAACTTTATCTAGTGTATTTTTCCCCTTGAGAGCACAATTGGTGTGTTGATGAAATTTAGGGAGTACTGCTTTTGAATCTGCATGGTTAAAGTCACTAGCAGTGATATGTACTGCGTCTGGATAGGTGTCCTGTTGTGAGTCGTGAGTCAAGGTGGTGACACACTCAACAAATGAAATGCAACAGTTTATTTACCTTTTTTCAAACTTCCTTAAAAGCATATCCATACTATGATTGGTTACTTCTCTGAAAAACAATTGGCCTATCAAAAACCTCATTAACAATGATTGTCTAATACAATTCACCCATCAAAAAGCTCATTAATAATGATTGGTTAATATTTCAAGAGGTATGTCAATATTACATAGTTGTCTTGGTTACCCCTTTAGTTACCCTATCCCTTAATTATCATGTGACCTCAACATCCCCCAGTGCACCTGTCTTGTCTCAGCTGCACCTCCTGACCTCCTCGTACTTCGTCCTTCATAGGTTGTCCCAAACCCACCCACCGTACAATCTATTCCCTGTAGCTAAATACCACTGCTGCTACTGTCATCTTAAGCTCATATGTTCCTTATGCATACAGATGTCTTCTGCATCAGCACAGCCTATCATATTGCAATACCTGATCAATAACTTGGCTTTCTCTTTTGCAACAAGTGTCTTCCAGCTAACTCTGGTTCTGTGCCATCCCTACTCTCAGTCAGTTATTCTTGTCTCAACAGACTCCAGAAGTAACCACAGGTCTCCTGCTGTCTGTCTTGCTAGTCCTATCTATATATCTATCTATCTATCTATCTATCTATCTATCTATCTATCTGCATTGACACTGGGGAGTGTTTAAAAGAATACTCTCTTGAATGTGTATTATAGTAATACTTTATGGTGGTTAGGGTTACTCTCTGCACTGTTAGCCAAGTTTACCTCTTACTGCAGGATATTGAAAGTACTCTGGGTAAAATAGATGGCACTAACATTTTGAGAATATAGAAAATAACCTGGAACACAAGTTGAACTTTTGTGACTTGCATTTTGTCTTTTCTTCTTCATTTTGACAATTTATGGGTTTGTTTTTATTAGCAATTGTTTTACTGTGTCAAATGTCAATTTTCGCTAAACTCAAAGAACTTGACAGTTTCATGAATAATGTGCTTTACCTCATGAGTGTCATTATGTGGGTGTTATTAAGCTTGCTTGTGTTTTGAAGAAAAATGCTCACTTACAGTATCTGTTAACTTTATGCTAATTGCATTTGTTTTTCTTTCTAGTTAATCTTCCCAAACAAATGACATATGGTTCGCCCTTGGAATGAAATACAAAATCAGATATGGGCAGTTGAGAACAGCAGCAAGTGAACATTTGTAACATACCTACTGTTTAATATATTTAACTGTACGTGTATTCACATTTAACAGTCATATATATACAGCTATTTTTTTACGTAAAACAATTCATTGTGCTTAAAGATTATATTCCAAAACTAACTGTGCTCTACTGTAGTTCTCCATCCATTTAGGGGTCTTCATGGGCATCCTGCCGCCCCCCGTCCGCATTATACATGATAATTGCAAAAATAAGTCATATTGCTGAGTAATATATTATTTAATTTAATTTAATTTATTATTATTATTATTGTTGTTGTTGTTTGATGGGAGAATAGAAATGAAAGCGGAGGTCTAGTCTGACTTAAGCTTATACTGTATACTGCTAAACCCTATCGACATGATTTGTTCAAAGAACTACATCAAAACAGACAAAAGCAGACGCCGAGATATAAATGGAAATTATATGTCAGTTCAATCAAGATAAGCAAGACTGAATAGCGCGACAGAGCAGATAGATTTCTTTCGGCAGGGTACACAATCGAACCGAACCTGACATCATTTTGATTCTTTTGAACTGAATTAATTAAATACCGTACAGATTTTCAGCGTTAAATTGATCTAATCCAAGCATACTACAAACATTTTGACCAGTTTTAAATAAATAGCGAATTTCTTACATGCACGTTTGTAATTTAATGTAAACAATGCAATTTGCTACTGGCAGATTATACAGACTGATGAGAAACTTAACAACTGATATATGACATTGTTCTTTGACAGTTACGACATGGTGAAAATATGCACTGATGTTCTTCGGTAATCTGGATGAGTACTGCTGGACGGTCAGATGATTATCTAAAGGTCCCTAAATTGGGAAACAAACATTATATTTATGCAAATTAATATTAATTAGTCATCTGACGTGACTCCGCCTTCAGTCGGCACAAATCAGATCTTGCTTTCCTTAACTGAACTGGCACAGTCCTCAACACAGCGAGGAGTAGGAGCAGCCTTGGCGCTCTTGGAAAAAAATGTTTCCCCTGTCAGACCCGAAATGAATATGTAATCAGTGCAACTGATGCCGCTGATGTGTTTCTATGGCAGGCACGGCAGCTGGATGAACAGCGACCCGATCTTCTCAAGTCGGCTGGGTTTCAGTTCTTCTGCAACGCCACTAAATTCAGAACAATGACTTTTGCGGATTCCAGCCTTGACGTTGACTTCTCGAAAGGTAACTATCTGCCATTATTATGTTCGATTACATTTCCTTTTTTAAGTCAGGTAGGAAACTTTAACATTCAATGTTTACAGGTACTACAGTTTTAAAGATGTTAATTCCAGTGTACTAAAGATAACTGCAGTTTTGGTTAAATTCATAACAGGCTGAATCATTACGGTGATCTGTTTGTCATCTACTAGGTTTGCATATCGGAACATAATAAGGATGCTCCTGGAAGCGGAATAATTTTATTTCTTTCAGATGAATGGTTGTAATCTATTACAAATGATTTAGTATAAATCTGTTTGATTCCGAGTGTTTTCTAAAAAGACGAAAACTCTCCGTGGCTTATTTCTCTTTGTTTGGTTGACACGTTCTACCGAATCTATTACACGTCGAAACGAAGACTAAACTTTTAAGAGCGTTTTCAGAACTGAAACTGCATGGCATTTAATTGGTCTACTACATTTTTGAGGGCGTTAAGAAAGCAAATGTAGTTCTTTAAATGAAGAAATCAAACACTGGGCAATCGTGAATTGTCATCCGGTTTAAAGTGCCTTAGTTTAAGGTGCCTAGTTTGAAATTGCGACGGTCGGCAGCCCACAGAAACGTTGCCGCCCCGAGCAGCCATAGGTCAGTAAAAACAGCGCTCAGACCCCCCAGAATCAATCTGCTTATGTGCGCATTCTCTGTAACGGAAATGTTACTAATATCGATATACAATACTGAATCGATTGATGCAGAGTGCTGAGCTACTTCTAATAAAGTCTTTGTATGCCTACTGGTAGCTGAATATCAATCAGCTATTGTTCTGTCCACAAATGTAAGGAAATAATTATCGGATTAATACTAATAAGATAAGTCATCCTTTTATAGGCCTAACTAACAATTATACATACAGTCGATTCAATATTGAATGCCAAGTGCAAAATATGTATATCATAAGTGTAACATGATAAAGAAGTGGACAACATAATTTGAATGAATTGCTCCAATAAATTCTTCATCTGTTGATTTGTTACTGTTAATTTTCATTATTTTGACCTCTGGTAACAGATGATCCCTATACATATATTATTCAGAATAAAGACTCAGGATTCAGCCCACATTATAACTATATTTCTTGAGCTATATGTCATATGTTTTCTTGAATGTGCTGGCATTCATTGGTGGGAAAGGTCAGTATTTTGGTTTCAGTTTAAATCATAACTTTTCACAGCTCTCAGATATCGTTCAGTTAGCAAGGATTTGACACAAGAAGTGCCTGAAACTGAGCTAGTTATTCTGTTTCAAATGAGTGACTTCGATATACTTAGATAGCACAATCAACCCAGCAAACATGCATGTATGAAAAGCTGGTTTTCAGCACGGGGTGTCTGAGACGTCCAGTGGACGCTGAAGTGAGGAGATGTTTGGAGGTGAAGATCAGGAGGGGGATGGATTCCAGCTCATTATTTTCATCCTTCACTGATGACAGTGAATGGCTTGAAGTTTGTCAGGAGATGAAACCGGTGCTATCACTTAAAAACATGGAAAAATGGACAGGCAGCCAGTAAAATTTCTTGTGGATAAAATGTATTTTTATGCACCTTGCACACACGTTACTTTCATCCATTCATCCATCCATCCATTCTTTTAATGTGTTCTTGGTAGCTTTCCATACATGATTTTGGTATTTGATTGGTGTGGGAGGTTTGGTAAGAACTTTTAACGAGGTTTTTCCCTGGAAGTTCACTGAATTTTGTAGAAAGACATGGGCATTTCTCTCGTTTATCATTGCAGATATATTACACTTTTCACAGTGTACTTTTCACATAAAATAATAGAACAAGATGAATCATTAATTTTTCATGAAAATGCTAGTACAGTATTGTTATAAAATAGAAAGTAATGGAAGTTACATTTTATAGATGTGATCTCTTCTTTTTATCAGGAAGAAAAATGTTCTCAAAAATGTTCTTTGGGGAAAACATACAGAGCTATAAATCCCTTTTTAGCCTGTATATATATCAAATCTGATCACAAAAGCCCAATATCAATGCAATCAATGCAAATCACTGTTACTTTACTTTTTCAGTGTTTTTTATGCTCGTGCATTGCATGTCATCTGGTCATTGGGAACTGTTTGAGTAGGAACATTAGTTTCCTTTCTGTACAAAAGCACACCATTTCAAACAAAAATACTTGATGACACACAATGCTATTAAAATTCCTGCTTTTGGCCATTTGCCATTGCAAGGAGGGGAAGAAAAACGAGCAATTGAAAGAGCAGGCAACACAAGTGGAAAGAAAACAGAAACAAGGAGCCCCCACCGTTATTTATGCCAATTTGAAGAATGTGGAGCCATGTAAAAACAGGAACTACAGTGTTCATGTGGAGCTGTTTCTGTGGGGGGGATATTATACAATTTTATTGGACCTAGTCATAGCAGCGGCTATGACCATCATCGGCACTTCGGAAAGTAACGGATGGGTGGACAGACACTCATAAGATGTTTTAAAATTGTTACATCAAATTAAGTTTGAAATAAAAACTGCAGTGTTTCTTTCAGCTCAGCTGGGCATAACTGATCACAGTATCCCAAAATTCATTTTAAAATGTTTTCGAACTAAATGAAAGAAAATGCAGCCTTGGTTTTTCTGTTCATTTTCCACAAAACCGTGCCAGGTAATTTCAGGAAAAACTGCTGACATTTTGCTTGTTTAAAGCAAAGAGAGTTTTAACAGCACAGGGAATCTCACCGGACCTGTCAAGATTAGGGGTTCTCAGAGAAGACGTATAGCTTAAAACTCAGCTATGATGTTGTCACAACATTGTGAAAGACATATATTATTCTGGATGGGAGGTACAAGTTCGCTAAGGACTTCTTTACAGTCTTTCTCCTGAATTCTCTCTGAGAGAATGTCCAAGTGCCCAATGAAAGCTGGCTTTTTTGTGCAATGTCATATATCACCAACAACAGCAACAAAACCATAGGTAACATAATCGGTCTTATAGGATTTTATTTATTGTGGTTGACGGCTGATAACATTTCTGGGCTACCTGCCCTGATATTATGCCCTTCTTTATGGCCTTTAGATTCATTTCTGAATTCAGCATAATGTTCAGCTACCATGACTCCCATCTTCCTATCAAATGCTCATACATAATAAATGAGTTACTGTCAGGTTCTGTGTGGGACATAACTAGGCTGGTATATTTGCATGTTTGTGTATGATTCCATTATTTATGCTCCAAGTGTGAAAATATGTTATTGTTTTTATGTACTTATATTTTAGTGTGTAATACACGTATTTACCACATTGTGGCAAAATAGTTAAAATCTGATTTTATATGGATTTATCCATTGATAACCAGATTATTTGATGTTTTAAATGTGTAACAAAACATGGTAACACTTTACTTGATGGGACACCAATAATATAGCAGTACACTCTTACTTAATGTATTTATGAACCAGAAACTAAGTGTCCGCACAATGTGATAAAAGCCTGTTATTTTGACAATATGGGGACATTTTTCTCAGCCTGACTTCCACTTTGTGATACTCAGTGGTTTGGTCTGGCTGCCTAAAGCTGTGCAATAAAGTTCTCTCAAGCATCCATTTGATCTTTGTCTTGGGAGTTTTGTCATGTTTATTTAATGTTCCCTTGTTTCTTTTTTACTGGCCTCCATTTAAGAATCCTTCACATGTACCTGTTTGCATCCAGTAATATATGCTACAAAAAGTCTGACCTGAAATATCAACTGCTTTGGATACCAAATTGAAATTTCTCATAAAAAAAACATATATAGTATTTACACCAAATGCATAATAGAAATAGTATTTCATTCATATAAATTTCATGACGTGTCTGTTTTCTCACCTTTGCTCTTTAATATTTTGTGAATGTCCTTTGTGGAATGCAGGAGCATTCACATTGGGTTCAATGCAAGTCAAGTCAGACTTTCAGTAAGCAATAACACTGCATAATGTTGCCTTACTCTTTAGGCCTCATTTACATTGACACATAGGTGACTTACTGTGGGGTACACCTTGTGACGTGACGTCAACATGCACAGCCTGCATTCCTCTTTGTTCACTTTAAATCACGTTCCCTGTATTAAAGAGTAAAACTGAATGTATCATCATCTATTTTCTGATTTCTAATTCCAGTTTCTATGGATTCCTTGGAGGAAGAACCATCTTAAATTTATTCATTATAAATGGTACATCAACTGTAGTCCCAATTGCAAAGAAACAATGAGATAAGCTATTATCCCAAAAGAATTAAGTAACAATATATTAACTTATAGACTGATAAACTAAATGTAGATTCCCTCTTGATTTTCTAGTCAAGCGAAACTTTCGAAAGAGGAATCATTTTGCCCCCCAATGCTCACTGCAGAAGTCCTTTCTGGTGAGCTTTCATTGCATTTTCTTTCTTTGTCTGATGACTGGCCTTTTAAGAACTACTTCCATCCAGCACTAAGTCACAGGGAGCCTCTTCAAGGCAGCACAGGGACTAACATGGTCAGGAAGCCGGTGTCCTTTTTGGTCTAAAGCCAGTTCAGATTTTGCTGCCCTATTTCTCTCAATAGAAACCACTTATTTAACGGCAAAGGCAAAGGGAGTATGCAAATGCAAATGCACAGTAACTTTATTATTAAAAGTTTATCTCCATTCTCAAAACATTTTATCAGTAATGTGCATTTATTGATAAAGCTTGTTTGTTTATTCCCAGACCTCAATCATCCTAGGACAATAACTTTTGCTTATTTTGGCTCTGGTGAGCCACTGAGTTAAATGCCAGAGTCATTTCCAGTGAGCATACATAATTAGGAAGAGTAATCATTCATTTACAACTAATCTTGGTTAAATATTAATAAAGTCATGGTTCATGTGTAAATTAAATATAATCTGCTTTGAGTATAACAATAGAAAATTTTACATCAGCTAATTGTTAACTTGGCTTATGCTGTGTTAACAAGAATCCAGTGCCGAACGTGTCACATCATTCTGGCATTAGGC